ATAAAGACATACACCCATACGTATTTCTGGAAGTAGCTCATGGCCTCATATGATTACTAGAAAATCTTTAACCATTTTGGTTTTACAATTTCTTATAGTTTCGTATAAGACAAATTTTGAAAAATAGACATAGCACATGCATATTCAAACACCACACTATGTATAAAATGGGTCTTTTTAAAAATAACAATTTATTACATTGTTATAAAAGGAAATCAATTTTCAATTTGTAAAGGAAAATTGCTTCTCCGTTTACATTCTTATTTTAAAATAATATTTTATTATATTGTTATAAAAGGAAATCATTTTTAAGAGCAATTCCCATATGTTGCCATCCCAAGGATACTGATTTTGTTTGGTTCATCGTTCCACACACACACATTTATACAAACATGCATAGACATAATTTTATATACAGGGACTTCAAATATAAAGAGGTGCTTGTTAAAAAAAAAAGAGGTGCTCCTACAAAGTACGAACGATTGCACTTTTCCCTCATCGCGTTGCACTATTACATGTTTCCGTTGCATTTTTTGCGGTGACAAAAAACTGTGATGTATTTACAAAATTGCCACCCCGCGTTTTTTATATCAAATTTGGTGCACTTTTGGCACATTTTGAATCAATAGATGTGAAAATGAATGCACAAGATTTATTCTCACTTTGAATGAGAAGCCATATTTGAATTTGAACCCTCTCTATATATGATGGTTGTGTTTTATATGTATATTTTGGTGCAATTATCTTCAAAAAATAATTTGACTGTCTTCTTTATTGAATGTTTAGCTAAACTTTTTTTGTGGACAAAATAGACTTAGAATTGACAACCTTTTTTCACTATCTACTCTTATCACAATAACCGAGTAAGAAGATATAACTTTTGAAATAAAAGAAGAACGTACAGTGTGTTTTGGTTACTCACAAAATAACACCAAACAAGTAATATGTATATAAAGTTGTCTAAGTAATCTATCACCATCACTTAGATAATAGTATTGTAATAAAATAAGACAAAATAATGAAAATTAAGGCCGGAGACGGATCCAGGATTTCGAGTCAAGGGGGCGAAAATTTTCTCGTTAGTGTAGGGGGTGAAAAACTTTTCGTCAGTGCAGCACGGCGAATTTTTTTTCCTAGTGTAGCAGAGCAATTTTTTTCGCTAGAGTAGGGCTCTATGACTATTTTTTATTAAAAAAAAATCCATTAATACATACACGATGACATCTAAATCTATTACATTCTAAGTTTAGACAATGAAAAAATTACTTTGTGTTTATAACTGAAGTGCTCTAGAAAAATGTATTGATACAATAAAGCGTAAGAGATGACAAATTAAAGGAAAATTATTTGATAAAAATAGGATATATAACATTTTATCAAATTTGTTGAATATAAAGAGTTTAAAGGTACACATCCACCAATATAATTAAAATAACGTTTTCCTTGTTTAATCACATGAATCTTATTGTAATAAGGAATTGGTTTGAATTGTAATTTTTGCTATCAAGGATGGTGTTCGTGAGTCACAAGTAATTTTTTTAATATAACAATAGTTTGTACGAGATTATAATTTTTAGAATAATATGATATTGCTAATTCATATAAATGGTGCATATTATATTTGTATTAATGGTAAATAGAGTTAAAGTTTGTTATTTATGCATTAATTAAATTGTTTTTAAAAAGTAATAAGTAAATTAATTGTGTAATTTAATGTCAACAAACATCTATATTTTAGATATAAGTCACATTGTCTAAAAATTGTTTTGCAAAATCGAGTACTAGTTATCTAATAAAGATAATTAAACATTGCAAAACTAGGAATTTTATGTATAATAAGTGTTCTAATTAAGTCTTAAACTATGAGTTGTTCTATTGTTTATTTTTTTAAGTGTAAATTATTTTAGATGTTTTCTTCTTTTAAATCTCCAATTAAGTATTACAAGGATGGTGTTCGTGAGTCACAAGTAATTTTTTTAATATAACAATAGTTTGTTCGAGATTATAATTTTTAGAATAATATGATATTGCTAATTCATATAAATGGTGCATATTATATTTGTATTAATGGTAAATAGAGTTAAAGTTTGTTATTTATGCATTAATTAAATTGTTGTTAAAAAGTAATAAGTAAATTAATTGTGTAATTTAATGTCAACAAACATCTATATTTTAGATATAAGTCACACTGTCTAAAAATTGTTTTGCAAAATCGAGTACTAGTTATCTAATAAAGATAATTAAACATTGCAAAACTAGGAATTTTATGTATAATAAGTGTTCTAATTAAGTCTTAAACTATGAGTTGTTCTATTGTTTATTTGTTTAAGTGTAAATTATTTTAAATGTTTCTTCTTTTAAATCTCCAATTAAGTATTACACTATATAAGACTATATATATTAATTTTGAAAACTAAAAGTTAAGGGAGGCGAACACACACACACACACATATATATTTAGTTAGAGTATGAAAATTTTATAAAAATATTACATATATAATAAAAAAAATTGAAAATCCAAGGGGGCGGTCGCCCCCGCGCCCCCTTAAATCCATCCCTGATTAAGGCAAAGCCAAATTCCATTCGTACAAGTAATGGCGAATTTTGGCAGCCCTACTGATGAGGCCAAAACGAAGAGCACAAAGTAAAGGGCTGATGAAAAGTACTTCCTCATGTAATGGCTAGTTCGGCAGTTCTTTTATAAGTTCAATCATACGAGTATGGAAGGAAGCTAAGGTCCAGGGCCGCAGGCTACTTTTTATAGTTGCACGATTATATATTTCCATTTGTTATATCCACCTTATACCCACCATGTTTGTGAAGTGAATATTTTGTTTGTGCAAAATAGTGTCTGTGAACCGGGGTTCATAGAAAAAAAACACTTCACAAATATAGGTGTGTACAAAAGTGGATATAAGAATAGGTACAAACATCATTTTTGTTTTCCATTAGACCATTCATTACTCCGTACTACGTACGGAGTGGACAATTCTCCTCTTATCTAGGATATTATTTCTCAATTAGATTGTAATTTGAATTTTACAATTTTATAGAAATTGCAATGTATTTTATGAATATACTACATACGTTCTCTTTTAAATGTAATATTGAATTTTTCGCACTATTCACATGTTCTATAAATTAAATTCCTCAGTTTTATTTGCAACATGGACTATAGATTTTGGACTCTGTTTTATTTATTTATGTATTATGAATAATTTTTTTTAAATTTCTCTCTTACGTAGTACTACCTCCACCCCCCTAAGTTTGAGACAAGAGAAAGTAGCACGATTATTAATAAAAGTGAGTTTATGTGGTTGATATTGAATTGATAAAGTAAGAATAAAGTATGAATGATTTAGAACCACACAAAATTTATCAAATAAGGTGATGGAGTATATGGCCTAGGAACCCCCGGCCTATAGACTCCTGCTTCCCTTATAAAGGCCCATTGAGCTCATAGAGCATCCGAAGCCCAAATGTAGTGGCCCAAGTTCAAGGAAGCACAAAAATACACACTAGGGTGCCTTCGGCCATCTTGACCGAAGGCACCAAAACTCACAGCATAGTCTTTTTTGGCATACGAAGCTACTGGGAGAAAACGGCAGAAATCAGGAGCCTTCGGTATTATGAGCCCTCGGCATCAGGAAAGCCTTCGGCTACACGAAGCCCTCGGCCACACGAAGCCCTCGACTGCGTGAAGAGCCTTCGGCTGAACAGACTCAATCATCGAAGATTCCCTTTGGAGACAGCCAACAACCGCATTTAATGCAACGTCACGTCAACCCGTTTGCCACTGCCGGTGCCACCCGTTTGATGTGACCCCTCGGCCGTTGGATTGTTGACACGTGTACTCTCATCGCATTTATTGCTGCTATAAATAGCAACTCATTTCTCCTTGTAAACGATCCCAGATCCACAACACGCTGAGTTCATTTAATAAAAATCGACTCTCTCTCCTCCTATTTTGCTCTGGCTTCTCTCTAGTTATTCCCGCAATAACCCCTCGGATAAGATACCCCTCGGGTAGACTATCCATCATAAGGTATGAGACAATCTTAGTGAGACGGACCAAAAAGGTAAAATGGGACAATCATAGTGGGACGGGGGGAGTATTAATTTTCAATGCAAAACAATGATTCCTTTTTTCATTTAGTAAAAAAAATGATTCCTTTTGTGCTAAAAGCTTGCCTCTTCTATTCCTTTTTTTTTTTAAAATGATGTTTGTACTCACTCTTATACCCACTTTTGTATCCACCTATGTTTGTGAAGTTTTTTTTCTTGTTTGTGAATCCCGGTTCACAAACAATATTTTGCACAAACAAAATATAGTCTGTGAATCAGGTTCACAGACAAAAAACACTCTTCATGGTGAGTATAAGATGTGTATAAGAGTGAGTACATAACATTTTTTTTTTAATTCATGTGAGTTAAAAGCTGCAAGCCTCCTTTTGACGGTGTGAATTAAAAAAACAGCAAATATATTAAATTTTATTGGTTAGGTAGCCTGGAAAAGTGGTCACTTACCGTATAAGGGAGTGTTCCAACTTCCAAGTGGCCCTCCACCATTCCAATTTCTTGGACCGAGTGTTTGCAAGTGGCAATAAATTAAAAAATGTTTTCAGTTTTTGACATAAAAAACTGATGTTGTTTTCAAATGATAATTTTTTTTTAAATAAGTACTTAAAAGATGAAAATCGGAATCAAGTGAGAGAATGCTTTAAATTGATCCTCACTTTTTTTTATTATAAAAAATTATTTGTTTGCCAAAAATTATCAACTTTTCTTTTTCAAATTAATTTTTTAAAAAACTTTATCAGCTTTAACTATTAAACATTTTTCTAAAAAATCACTTCTTATACCATAAACAATCACAATCACTCCATAAACTTAAATGTTTAGTGAGCAATAGTAAACAATGGGAGCTCACCATAAATGCACTTTTTGATTATATTCGAATACAAATCTTATAAATAAGAGAGAATTCCCTAAATAAGAGTATCAAAATAGAAGTATCATATTTTTTATTCCCTGAATAGGAGTAAATTTCTGCCAAGTTTGGCATTACAAGGCTTTAAACATGCACTAGTGGAAAAACATTAAACTGTGGTGCCTATTTTGCGCCGCCTGTTTTGCAGCACTTAATAAATAATCGCCGTAAAAACTTAACGAACGACGCTTATAATTTTAAAGCGCTATCCACCAGTTCGACATATTGAAAAAAATCTTTTTTTTTTAAAATGCGTACGACACTTTTTTAAATTAAAGCGCCGCATAAGTTATATTCTTAGTTAAAAATTTGTTTTTTTTTCGTTCGTGCGGCGCATCTTTAAAATAAGCGCCGCATATATTTAAAAAGTTCAATTATACGGAATTAAAAAGGTTATGGGCGTGTGGTGCATTCCAACAAATAAGGGTCTGTTTGCAACAGTTTCTGCTTTTAAAAAAGTGTTTTTTTTAATGAAATGAGGAGAAATGATTAAATAAAAGTTGATAATGTTTGAGAAAAAAGTGATTTTGAAAAGTAAAAGTGGGTAGTGTTTGGTAAAATAAGTGCTTTTTGTGTAATAGAAAAAGTAAAAGCACTTTTGACGCGGAAGCCGAGAAAAATAAAAGTTGTAATGTTTGAGAAAATAAATGCTTTTCTAAACCCAAAAACTGAGAAATATTTTTTTAAAAGCAGTTACAAACAGACCCTAAGCGCGCCGTAATGTACGAAGTACGGAGTATATTTTTTAAGCGGCACGTTTCCAAATAAGCCCGTGTAGAATCCAAATAACCCTAGCTCACACATCGTTTCTTAGGAAGAGAAGCTTGAAGCCGCCGCAACGTACTTACGTTGGACATACCAGATGGTCTTCGCCATCCGCGGCCTCAATCTGGTCAGGGAGAGCGATTACAAGCTCCTCCTCAACGGCGGCTATGTCCACTACGGCCTCTTGATGTCTGCGAAGTGGTTGTTGAACAAAGAGTCCGAGACTCTGATCTGAGGAAGCTTTGGGAGGAGAACGGGAGGAGCCGTAAGATGATTTTCGCTGGTTATTCCTTGAGATCCGGCGTCGCGTCGCGTCGCGTCGCTGCTCACGATGATTCTCGTCAATCACAGGGATGAATTCGGCGGTGCCAGCTCGGTGGATGTCTCTCAACTTGGCCGTCAAGTATGCCGATGTCATACACTTTGTCGTGCTGCAGGTGATTATTAAGAAATGGATTATCACAAAGTGTATATGTCATACACTTTGTCGTGCTGCGGTGCCAGCTCGGTGGATGTCTCTCATCCACCCTTAGCCTTCTTTCCTCGCCCCCATCAATGATTGCCGCTGCCACTCATTAGTGACTACCGCCGCCTCTTGTTTGTGACTGCCGCCACCTCTGGCTAGTGACCGTCATCACAAGCGCAACTGTTCACCACCACCACCAGCGCCACCACTGACCATTGCTGTCGTCCACCATCGTTAATGACCTGCCGCTACCCTATAGTGACCGACCAGAAACATCACCCTTGCACATCTCCTGCGACTACCACCGTCCAACGTCGCCAGCAATCAATCAACCACCTCCGCCATCCGCCATTTTTCATCTCTTTATCCGCCCCCACCGCCAACACCACTATTGCTGTTCGCTACCCAGCCCAAACCACCAATGCCTGCTCCATCATCCCCTAACCCTCAACCATCACAACCTCCGACCATCGACACCCTTGAAAACCCACCGCCGCCCTTGGCCTACACTTAGCCGTACACACTAGCTCCCAAACCCCATCCCCTGCTCTACTACCCTGCCTTTACACCACCCCACTCCAGCAGCTCCATTTATGAATAGCCCAGCCCTGACTCACCCCTTCCCAAGCCTACCTTCAACAACCCAGCCCAACTTTGACCACCCGGTACCTCAACCTAGCCACCACCATTCCCAGATCTGGTTTGGTCATTTTCTAATCACCATCTCAGATATGGTAATCCATCCAGATCTCCAGTCTAGCCTATCTCCTCAGTTTCTCCATCCCTGCTGCGAGACAGAATGGGATGAAAACGAAGTCGAGCGTCAGAACTTCTATGGTGTCGTGCGACGAAGTTGTGGAGCTGCGATGGCGACAGAGGGCAAAGGTGTGAATATCTGGTGGCGGTGCAGGACACAATTTCTGACATGCGATGCTTCGACGTTGGCGACTTGCTTCAATGGAGAGGCGATTGCTCGAGATGAAGATGGTGGTGACGCTCAAGATGTTGGGGGTTTGGCACAACCATAAAGGTGCGTTGTGAAGAAATGTGCTGGGAAGAGATGTGAGAGATGTGCAGGGAGATGCGGAAGGGAAAAAGACACAAATAGGACTAAAACATAGGCATGTGAAGCAAATAAGGATGTTTTCTTTTGGACTATTTTCAGTCCTAGATTTGACCAGATTAGATCAGATCAGACCAGATCAGACTTCCGTAGTTCTAAAATACACAAAGACCAAACGTTTACCAGAACAGATCGGACCAGTTCAGACAAACAAATTTCAGCCGAATAGAAAACATCTTAAGACCCCAAACATTTTAACTCGGGTATAGGACTAATTTTAAATTAAAAGGACAAAAATAGCCTCACTGATATCGCTTGAAGCTATGTACGTTGCTGTAGCATACGCGGCCATTCACTCCAAAGCCGCATGTACCGCTGCAAGTAGAAACTTCTGGAATCCATGGAATAGACTCTGCCATCAGACCTTCGCTGCTGCTAGATTCCACCATCGGCCCTTCGCCACCGGGCCCCGCTATCATACTTCCGAACTCCATCACAGATCCTTCACCACTGGTCTCTGTCATCAGACCTCCCTCACCACACCTTACCACTAGACATCAATTATATATCATACTTCTGGCAACCGCCGCCGCTGAACGGCTGCGCTATCGGCTTCTATGCAATTGGTATTGCAATTATTGATGAAGAAAGAGGTGCGAAATCATTCCAGATTTGCTAAAAAAATCATGCCGCTCTTGATACAAGAAGTTGATTTGGGTTCAAAATACTGGCACAAGAGAGTTTGAATAAAGATAAGATCATTATGTCGAGATTATTCTTGAATCTTGGGAGTTAGTGGGAGTATTTGCCCAGACACTTGTTTGATTCTTCTTCTAAACGCATCTCTAATGGTAAGCTTTCAACATTGATAAAATTGTGACGCATGGCGTTAAATGTATGGAATGTTATACCACATAAGGTGCATGTGAAAAGATGAAAAGTTAAACTTCCCAAACGGCAAACGGTACACAAAGCACACTGTTGACAATGGATTGTTTCATACGTGTGTATCATTTATTTAATAAAAATCAAATGAATTTAATTGCAAAGGAAAAGGTCCTCAATTGCAAAATATAAAACTGAAGTGGAGCTAGGTCTACACAAAAGTTGTACACAAAATTTGTACACTTGTCTGTCCCCCGCAAACAAATTGTCTGTCTGGAGACGAATTGTCTGATGGCAGAGTCTACTCCATGGATTATACAAGAAGTTGGTACCACTTGGTACACTTTCGTCAACCGATATTAATGTTAAATCATCCTTATTAATAATGAATTCGGTTTTAATGATTAAAATTTAGATATTTATTAATATTTGCTACCATAATGTATGTGGATACATGTGCATTTAATTTAGAGTTTCACTTCATGCATCACCATTAATGTATTTTTTCACATCATGCACACAACATTTACACATTTACACATCAACCAGTTCATGATATATTGTCGGAAGTGCCAATAGCGGCCGGTAGCGGCCTGTAGCGGGCGGCGTAGTAGGAATTTTCTGTTATTTGAAATTCACACCCCGATAGCGGCCCGTAGGCCGTAGCAGTAGCGGTACCTACCGCGAACGCTATATAGCGGCTTCTATAGTGGTAGCGGCCCACTATTTAAAACACTGGTGAGAAGCAGCGATGAACGGATGCGAGGAGGTGAGAAGCAGCAAAGAAGACAGATTAAAGCTCAATCACCGGAGGTGAAACCTCAAGTTTGGCGATGGGCCGATGGCACTTGCCTGAACTCTGGTGCAAACATTTGAGCGGATGTCCAGGCTGGAAGATGAAGAACAAAAGGTTGGGTCCATGTAACACCCCGGCCCCACCGGACCCGAGGTAGTTACTCCGGACCAATAGTACTGTCACCACAAACCACCACGAGCCTTTACCGCGCACTTTGTCCTCACTCGTGCGCGCCCTGTGAAACTTCCCAGGGGGTCACCCATCCCAAGACTACTCCCGTGCAAGCACGCTTAACTTTGGAGTTTTTGGGTGATAAGCTTCCTTAAAAGGAGATGCACCTCTGTTGGTATGAGTAGTACTATTAATCCGTTTATATTAAATCTCAAGTGTTACAATCACCCCCACTTAGGATCGCAACGTCCTCGTTGCGCCCTTGAACCAATCTCAAATCTCAATCAAATCCCAGAATCTTCCCCCGCTAAGTTCTCCGGACCAATAGTACTGTCCTCACAAACCACACGAGCCTTTACCGCGCACCTTGTCCTCACTCATGCGCGCCCCGAGAAACTTCCCAGGGGGTCACCCATCCCAAGACTACTCCCGTGCAAGCACGCTTAACTTTGGAGTTATTGGGTGATGAGCTCCCTTAAAAGGAGATGCACCTCTGTTGGTATGAGTAGTACTATTAATCCGTTTATATTAAATCTCAAGTGTTACAATCCCCCTACTTAGGATCGCAACGTCCTCGTTGCGCCCTTGAACCAATCTCAAATCTCAATCAAATCCCAGAATCTTCCCCCGCTAAGTGCCCGCCCGATATCCTACGGGTCAACACACTGTCGCAGGGTTGCTCTGATACCACCTGTAACACCCCGGCCCCACCGGACCCGAGGTAATTACTCTGGACCAATAGTACTGTCCCCACAAACCACCACGAGCCTTTACCGCGCACTTTGTCCTCACTCGTGCGCGCCCTGTGAAACTTCCCAGGGGGTCACCCATCCCAAGACTACTCCCGTGCAAGCACGCTTAACTTTGGAGTTTTTGGGTGATGAGCTTCCTTAAAAAGAGATGCACCTCTGTTGGTATGAGTAGTACTATTAATCCGTTTATATTAAATCTCAAGTGTTACAGTCCATTTATTAGAGCATTTCCAGTCATGCTACTAAATTTTACGTTTTTTTATGACTTATTATTACCACGTCACTTCCACATAAGGAAATCTCAAATAATCTCTAAATTGATTAATTTTTCCTCAACCATAATTTTAATTTATCTAGATTTTTTATGAGAAATACATTCAATTTTAAAGTGAGAAGCAGCAAAGAAGACAGATTAAAGCTCAATCACCGGAGGTGAAACCTCAAGTTTGGCGATGGGCCGATGGCACTTGCCTGAACTCTGGCTCAAACATTTGAGCGGATGGTCCAGTCTGGAAGATGAAGAACAAAAGGTTGGGTCCATTTATTAGAGCATTTCCATTCATGGTACTAAATTTTACGGTTTTTTATGACTTATTATTACCACGTCACTTCCACATAAGGAAATCTCAAATAATCTCTAAATTGATTGATTTTTCCTCAACCATAATTTTAATTTTTCTAGATTTTTTATGAGAAATACATTCAATTTTAAAGTGAGTTTGCGAAGTTAATCGATGGATGGTGCAGATTTTAAAGGTGGCAACCAATTTAATGGAGAATGAGGCATGCTGTTTTTAAGTTTCCGTGTCTTTACTGTAAAAGGAGAACAGCACAAGGAGCCAGCTGCCTTCACATTTAATCAAGGGAATGTCGAAAATTGGGAGAAGTGTCTAAAAGTTTGGAAATAGTTTTAAAATTTGATATCAGATTTTTCGATCAAATAATCTTTTCAAATAATCTTAACAACTCAACCATAATCTAAAAAAATATCATCCACATCATCAAAATAATTCCTAAATAATTTCATGGATGGGGATGCCCTTAATGTAGTGACTTTATTGTCCAATCTAAAATCAGTCTTATTTTTGTCATTTAAAAGTCTCCTACTACTATTCTGGTCATTTTTTCCTTTAAAACTCTTCCTTTATAATTCAAATTACTAATAGGCTAGACATTATCACAAATTACTAATAGGCTAGACATTATCATTAATACATGAGATGATGAAAACGAGTATAAAGAGCATCACAAACCATTGTTATAGGTTAAACTCTTTAAATGAATGTTTTTTACAAGAGGAAAGTAACTAAAAACATGGTAATAAATTTATATGAAGCAAAGGATATCCAAGTGAACGTGTTTTTCTCAACTTTTCATGTTTATTAGTTACTTTATTACTCCGTACTAATTAATCAGTAACTTTACTAATGAATAACCTGTCATGATTCTTAATATCCAATTAAAATACGTTAGGATATATACTTATTTTATACAAGAACACAACTCCACAATAAATGGATTTTCCCTAGCCTAATTGTAATAATATACTTCATATACTATTTGAATAATAATAGGCCTTTTGGCCTAGATAATACGGAGTACTAAAAATAGGATAACAGACAAAAAGTGATATGTTTTGAGAAATTCCAAAAATGTGACCAACATCACAATTAACCGTGCATTGCAAAGTGACTCCGGCCAAAGTGATTGTGCCGCCACAGTGACTCCACCCGTTAATGGCTATGGCCGCCCCGACCAAAGTGACTGCCCGCCCACCGGTCACAGTGACTTCAGACAAAGGGACTGCCCGCCCAACTCCCACAATGACTACCCGCCCAACTCCACCACCGCCGTCCATGCCAAAAACCATCATTGTCCACCACCCGCCTGCTGCCAATCCCAGACCCTCTTCTACACCAACCCCAACCCAGCCCCCTCTCGCACCTACCCCAGCCCTTAACCCAACTATGACTACTATAACCGGCCACCCTCATCACTCCGGTCCTCTACCACCCTTGTCCAAACCTCTTCCCCAACTTCCTAGCCCCCATCCCTTACCAAATCGATGCCTCTCAACCCGCCCCCTACAATCGATGCAGCCTTCCATCATTCCTGCCCCAAATTCTTGACCCGACCACTGGCGGAATCACACCGGCACCTAGCCCATCCCAACCCACTCCCCTGCTCCAGCCTCGTCATGACCCCTTCCATTTCCCCCGTAAACTATAGCCGTTTCAAATCTCTACAATATGCACCTCCATCATCGATTTGAAAGACTATGAAAATCTGGCGATGAATTGAAGAGGGGAAGAAGAGCGGCGGAGAAGAGAAGAAGAGCGGCGTAGGCGGACGAAGCAACAAGTAGATGATGGATTGTGCGAGCTGCAAGGAAAGGCGCGAAGGAGTGTGAAGGAGAACTGCTCGATGCGGCGAAATGGGTTTGGGGAAAAAGCTCCGATGCGTGAAGGACGGGTCAGTTTTTTGGGAGAAGTCAAAAGTGATATATTTTTGGAAACGAAAAGTTGGGTGGTCATACGGGTGCCATTATTGGATAATAATACTCCCTCCGTCCTAAATTATTAGGCACTTTACGGTTTACAATGTTTGACCGACGATAAATCATATTGATCCCTATCAACATTCAAATTAGTTTTAGAAAATAAAATTTACTTATTCAAAAACTATATTAAAATCACTACAAAGCCCGCAAAAAATAATTGAAATTTCATAAATTTTGATATATAAAGTAAGAGATTAAGAGTGATTTGCGTTGACCAAGTGAATAAGAAAGATATCTTATAAAATTAGACTGAGCAAGTAATATCTTAAGATAGGATAACATAAATTACCTTAAGTAAAATCTATGATATATTTTCATTTACACTAACATGATTTCAGTTTTGTATTAATACATGTAACATTCTGTTTAGTATGTGAACTTATGTATGGATAGCAAAAATTGTAAATCGCAAAACTTGATCTGAAATAAGATAAAACATCCTTTTCAACAAGAATTTCCCAAATTTAAAATACATATTGTTTCAGACTAGAGATCTCTAAGAACATCTAAACGATATTCAGAAATTGTTTAAAACAGTGATTGAAAAACTTAACCTATAGCACTGTGTGAAGACTCCAATCGTTGGGATTTTCCCCAAACAAGGATTAATCCCAGACACAGTTAACCCCTCAACTCCTCAAGACAACACCATTGAGGCTTAAGCCTTAAGGCTTTCTAGCTTCCCTTCGCAGTAAAGCAT